ACACAAGAAAATTCTAGAGTTTTTTGAATTATGGACAAGCATTCTTTTTTTCCCAAAACATTCCTAGTGTTTGTTTGATTTTTCTGGAACTTTCCTAACTTATCTTAGAACTAGTATTTTGTAGTGTTTTATAGAATTTATCTCTAGAATCTTGTTTAAGTGCGTTAATAATTTAACACTTCTTCTTAATGCACTTAATTGATATTCCTAATTGTTCTCGTAATGACTTGAACTTGAATCGTTGATGCATATTTGCTAATTGTTCTTTAATCCTGCAATACTTAAAAGTGAATTTTTTATTGCCAACTACTTCAAAAAATGATATTTGATTAATATATAATTAGTCCTACTATGGAATACAGGATTTTTCATCATAGTAATTGTTGATTTATTATCATATAATATCGTTGTAGATCCTTATTGACATTCTCTCATAGCTTCTAGTATTTTTTTAAGCCATATAGCTTGACTTGTTGCTCTTACGGTTTCAACATACTTTGTTTCAATTGATAATTTTGCTATAGACACTTTCTTTTTAGATGTCTAAGAGAATATTCCAAAACTGAGTCAAAATGTATAGCCTGAAGTGCTTCTTATATCATCAATTGATCTAGCCCAATCATTGTATGTCCATCTATATAGTCTTACATCAATAATTAATATATACCATATGCCATACTCTTTTGTTCCCTACAAGTATCTAAGTATTCTTTCAACAGCTCCAAAGTGGATTTTTGGCTTGGACTTTACATGAACCTTAATAGTAGACTTGTTGCATACATTATATCTAGCCTTATTATTGTTAGATATAAAAGCTTTTTATTAAACTTCTGAATATTGATGTGTCCTTCTTTTTTTAATCCATCTTTCTTTTATAATCTCTTATTAGTCACAAATGGAGTAGCAATTGCATTATATCCTGTCATCTGTAATTTCTTCAAGAGTCTCTAAGTGTATTTCTTTTACGAGATAAATATTTCTTCATTTTCTTGCTTTATTTTTATCCCTAAAAAATAATGCATCAAACCCAAATTTATCATTTTAAAAGTCTTCATCATATCTTGAATCATCTCCTTGTTATTTCCATATAGATAAGATCATCCACATACAGAGAGATTGAGAGTGTTAGAGTTACCTTGGTTTTTTAATGTACAGTGTTGGCTCACTCTTACTTCCTTTCAATCCTTGTTCATTAAAGTAGTTGTCAAATATGTTATACTAGACCCGTGGTTTTTGCTTGAGCCCATACAATACTTTCTTTAATTTTAATATTTTATTTATGCTACTTTTTACTAAAAAATTAAATGGTTACTCCACATATATTTTTTATTCTAAAACTCCATTCAAGAAAGTATACTTCACATCAAGCTAATAAATTTTTTTATCTTTTTTGAGCATTTAAAGCAATTAATGCTTAAATAGTGTCTAGCTAAGCAACTGCAACAAATATTTTATCATAAACAATGCCAGGTAGTTGAGAATAGCTTTTGCTACTAACCTTGCTTTATACTTTTGTATTGAGATATTAGAGTTAAACTTTGTTTTATAGACCCACTTAACTCTAATAACCTCTTTATCTTTTAGTTGATTCATTAGCTCACAGGTCTTATTTTTCTCAATCATTTTAATTTTTTTTTTCATTGCCTTCACCTAAACTTCTTTCTTAGATGTAGCTTCATAGCTTTTAGGCTTGCTTCACAACTGTGAAACTGTAGCTTTTATAAATGTTAATTAGTGACCTTATTTTACTAACTAGTGAACTTGAAGAAATTCTTTCTTGCCTTATAATTGATGGTGATCTAGGTGAACATGGAGGGGTTGATGATTGACTTGTTGATGAAGAAGATCATGGTGATGATAGTTGATTTCTACTTTCTTCAACATCTCCTTTATCAGCTTAAGTTTAGTGATTATTCTTTTTTCAACTTTTTCTTCATCCCAATTCCACTTAGCATTTTTATCGAACTCAATATCTCGACTGATAATTAGTTTCTTGGTCTATAAATTGTATACCCAATAGCCTTTTGATATTGAACTATAGCTAAAAAAAATATTCCTTTCTCAGTCTTGTTATTGAACTTACTCATTTTTTGCCTTTGGAATACAAGTGTAACATATATTGCCAAAAACTTTGAGATACTTTGCTAAAGGCTTCCTTCCTGGCCATGCTTCCACTAGTGTTTTATTTGTCATTGTTTTTGCTGAACATCTATTTAGTATATATATAGTAGTGGATACTACCTATGCCCAAAACTTATTTGAAAGACTTTTCTCCTTTAGCATTGATCTTGCCATCTCTAATATTGTCCTATTCTTTCTTTCTGATACTTCATTTTGTTTAGGAGCATATTCTAAGATAAGTTGTCACTTGACAGCTTCTTCTTCGCAGAGTTTTGCAAACTCTTTTAAGTTGTATTTTGTACCTTGATCACTCCTCAACACCTTAATATATTGGCCATTTTGCTTTTCAATATAGTTTTTAAATTTTTTGAATATATGAAAAACTTCTCATTTTTCACGCATGAAGTAGCCATTCTAGTATAATCATTAATGAAGAGAATGAATTACCTTTTTTGATTTAGTGACAATGTCCTCACCGATCCACACTCTAATGAGCTTTTTGCTTTCTAAGCTCCTCTAAAAGGAAATTATCGTCTTAGTTGCTTGCCAAGTAGGCAACTTTCACAAACATCATTTACTTTGATTGTTTTTGGAAGATCTTTCATCATATTCTTCTAACATAGGTCCTTCAACACCTTGAAATTAAAGTGGCCAAATCTTCGATGCCATAACTTGGAATCATCAACTTGTGCCTTCATTGCAGTATTTTGGATATATTGTCATCTGATAGGAAAACATCTATTTTTCATCCTTATTACCCTTTTTTTTATCATATATGGTGTAACGATCTCCATCAAAGTAAAGAGCTTAACCTTTTTCCTACATCATGCCTACACTGAACAAATTATTTTTGAAATTCAAGATAAGCAATACATCGTTGACAAATTACATACATTTCTTTGTCTCTATAATGATATTGACTTTTCCTTTAGCCTCAACCTCTGTATTTTTTTAAAATTTGACTTTGGAATTGACTGATGAGTCTAAATTGTGAAATAGGATATCCTTACTTGTCATGTGGTTACTGCACATGCTATCAATATACCACATATCTTATCTTTAGTGGTAGCATGATAGCAATAGAATAACAACTCTTTATCATCCTTTTTTCCATAAAAAATTGCTTGGTGATTATTTTTTATGTGACAATCCTTTTATAGATGTGTGAACCATCCATAAAAGTGACATTATAGTTTACCATGATTCTAACAATCTTTCTCCAAATGATTTGTATTTTTAAAAATGTTGCAAGAAGGATATTTTCTCCTTGGCTGGCTATTTTTTCTTCTAAAGTTTTATTTTCTTGTAATACATTTCAAGAATTATTTGTAAATTTCTCAGAATTATGTCTAGATTTTTAAGACCTTATATTAAGCTCAGACTGAAAGGCACTCTCAATAGTCTTTTTCATAGCTTCTGAGCCTTGTATTATATGTTTCTAAAAAACCTATTAGTTTAGCTACTGGCATGGTTGTTAAATCTTTTGATTATTCTATAGTAGCAACTATAAAGTTATATTTTCTTGTATGACTGACTAGGATTTTTTCCAACAACTCTTTGATTAGTAATATTTTCTCCTAAAGATCTCATTTGATTTACCACAACTTTAGTTCTTCCATGATAATCTTTAACGGTCTTAGAATCTTTTATTTTTAATTTTTTCCAACTCTCTTTGTCATGTTCAGATTTTAATGGTGTGTACCTTAGAATTGCCGAGAAACTCCTCTTACAACATATCTCATGCTTGCTTTCCTGTCGAAGCTCCAGTAATCCTATGAAAAATTGTATTAGTTAGTGATTGTTGAATCAAATAAAAAGCATTAGTATCCTTTTGCTCTTTCACATTTAACTCCTTTTGTTGTGCTTCTTATAGAGTAGAGATATTCTTCGGGATGTTAAGTCTCTCCATAACAATGTCCCAAAGCTTTTGAGACTTGAAAAGTGTCATCATTTTTATTTTCCACAAATCATAGTTGCTCCCATAAAAAATGAAAAATGGCATAGAGATAGATTATGATGAATTTATAGTGGCTATAAAGACCTTAGTGCCCACTTACGATTAATTGGGGCTCTAATACCTCTTTTAGAAAATGATGGTAGTTTAGAGGTTTTAGTGATTAGAAATTGAAATGAAAATAGTTTGATAGTTAAGGTTTTTAGTTGTAGTAGTTTAGTAAAAGAAGGACTAGTTTATAGTTTGGAAATGGTTGAAGGATGTGGGATACACAAAACAAAAACTCTGTTGATAGAAGATATAATCAAGGAGTAGAGTTTTAGTACAAAGGCTGTAAGCTTAGCATAGTTTTTGGCTTGCTTTACATATGATGATTGCATGGCTATTTATAGCCTTCTTAACCAACCCAAATGGAACAATCTATAAAAGCTTTTCAGCCATAGAACTTGCTGGAAATTTAGCCTATACACTAGAAAATTCTAGTCATTCTTGAGAGTCCTTTCCTTGCTTGGGAAAATACTCTGCCCGAATAACATCATCTAACATTCTAAACATCCATGAATTTTCACTACCTCGGGTTGTTTAAGAAAGACTTCAAACTCCGAATTTGAACACCTAGTATTGCTCTTCCGCGGAGGTGAATTTGAACACCTAGTATTGCTCTTCCGAGGAGGTAGACATGTCCCCGAAGTCCCCATTCAGTTTTCGAAAAGGACTTGTCCGGAGATACCTTTGCAGAAGAGCAATATTTTGAAGCCTTTCCTAAACAACCTCAAGGTAGAAAAGATTCTTGGATTTTAGAATGTGAGAATTAAGTTATTATAACAAAAGTTTTACACAAGTACAGAAAGGGATAGCAAAAAATATTCATTGCACAGCACATTTTAGAAGAGTACAATTAACAGGAAAAAATAATTATACTCTATTAAGAGGACAGTAAGAATACAATTTTAGCATTAGATGAAGCCCAAGAGAATCCCATTATTTGTGACCGAACTTTTTGTCGCCGAAGAGAATCCTTAAAGTTGCAACATTTTGCTGTGCAAAGTGTCATTTCTTGCAAGTCCTTCCCATGCTTGAGCAAAAACTTTGCTAGGCTAACTTCGTTTTCACACTCTAAGAATCCATGTATCTTTACAACCTTGAGGTGGTCTAGGAAAGGCCTTAAAGCTTGGAGTTGAGATTCCCAATATTGCTCCTCTGCAGAAGTAGACAAGTCCCACAAGTCCCTATTCCATTGCTGAAAGAACAAAAATATGAAACAAAACTAAGGCTAAGTGTGCATATATATATAAGGCCGTAAATCAAAAGGAATTACATTTATTGTACTCACTCTTCTTTCAGTCGTGAAGTCATTGATGATCTTGAGGATGAGTGTGTGCAACGTGGGAGAGCTCCTGAATAGGAATGCTAATCCTGGTACATTATTTTTCTCGAAACCGGTATGCAACTCCAGAACCTTAAGGTTGTTAAATGGATGGAGAAGGTTTATAATATCGTTCTTGTTTGATAGAATCTGCCAAAATAGTGAGAGTCCATTCTCATGCACTGGATAACATAAAACTATTATGCCGGAAAAAAAAAAGATTGTGATAATTGAGCACTATTTCAGGCAGGAAGAAAGGCTTTTACCTCAACACATTGGCTATCAAGAGTTAAACTATGGACATGAGAGAGTCCAGATAAAAAATTGCACACACTCTGAAGCTTTTCCACGCTCAAATTTTCATGAAGTAGAGAGAAACCAACAGAGGCCTCATGCAGAGAGGTCAAGTTCACTAGAGAACTGCTAGCAGTAATAGAATTATATTCCCACGAAATGCTCCTAAGCCTTGGTGCATTAACTTTAAACCATGTCTTATCACTGTATGCATCAAAACAGCTTGCAACTCTTAAATTTTCCAATTTTGCAGAACAAATGTCCAAACTATGTAGCTGAAAACAATTCTCTATTGTTAAATCTTCAAGGGCTCGACAACAAACCTTGAGATGTTTCATCCCAAAACAAGCATCGAGATTAAGATTCTTTAGACAAGGAAATGACGATTCCGTAAACAAGTCCAAGAGGGAGGATTGTTCATATAAAATGACAAGTGATAGTGACAATGTGTGGAGTGATGGAAACCCAAGAGTCATTACCGAAGATGGAAGCAATCTAAAACCGGGATACCGAGATCTCAGTTTGAGAACCCGCAAAGATTCACTCGTTATGACTCCTCGAGGGAAATTGAAGTAATCACCGGTGGCGACTTCCACATCAAGTTCTTGCACATTACACCTAATTGCTCTTCGAATCAAACCATTTAGATGGGAGAAACTCAAATGTGCACGAAAGCGAAGGGCTCTTAGATCAGAATGCTTGTCACGGAGAGCTAGGACATTGGCGATGAAGTCCATCGAAGACCACCATCTTTTTGATTTAAGCTTTGGTGTAAAACAAATGGCCTTACTAGGGTTCATTGTGGTGAAATCAAGGTCAGGAAATGAGGACCAGAGAGATCTCCATCTTTGAGATAAGACACTGGTTTGAGCAATGGATTTAAGGGGAAGAAGCAAGAGAACGTGATGGAGGATAGCATCAGGGAGATCGCTGATCCTGTCAATGTCATTATCACCTTCATTATTTGATGCAAACCACAACTTTTTTCTCTTGGTGGATCTTGTTTCCATTACCATGATGGTGATAGTTGTGTTGAATATATCTTTCTGTATTGTAAGCTGCTATCAATTTAGATTAGGGTTTGAAAGTTTCGAAAGTGTGAAGTAAGATGATGAAAGAGTGCTTGAGTTTGTTTGCACTTCCCTTCAACTTTTAATTTCTTTTTTTACTATTATTTTTTGAATAATTCACGTTTGAGTTTGAAAGTTTCAAAAGAGTGAAGTTAGGATATTTTTAGCAGATTTCTTGGCAAGGCTTGCGTCTAGGTTTGACATCTCCAAGCAAGTGTGGAAGTCTCTCGCTTTCGGGATCTCCCATCTTTCTTGTTAGCTGACTCCATGGATTATTTTTTGTTTTTCGTGAGGCCCAACAGGCCTTAATTATAATATAAGATAGAATTTATTTATTTTTTACTGTGTTTAGCGATCAAAATATTAAATTTTTAAATTTTAAACTTTTTTTATTTTAAATTAATTTTTGTTTTTGAAATGTTTTAAAACAATAATATCATAAATAAATTTTAAAAAATAATATATATATATATATGTCATTTTAATATATTTTGCAAAATGAAAATATTTTAAAACATACATATCACACTTTCAAATAACTCTCCAATAGAACTTCATCTTTCCTATTTCTGAACATGATACATTGCAGTTTCTTGATTCTCTAATTACCCAAGATGCATTCTTTACACAGGAGCCCATTACATTTGTAATTATTTTTATAAGATAGAAAGATTTAATGGATCAATTTTTTTTACCCAAAAATCAAATAACTCCTTCTTGAATATAAGATCATTTTGAAATATTTATTTGGGAGTAGTTGTGGTTACTTTTTAAAATAATTGTTATTTCAAAATGTATTAAAATAAAATTTTTTTATTTTTAAAAAATTATTTTTAAAATCAATACATCAAAACAATTTAAAATATATAAAATTTTAATTAAAAAAATTAAATTGATATTTTTAAAAACACAGTTGACTCGTGTTTTTAAAAAAATTACTTTTAACATCATATGAGCATAATTGTTGTGGTTGCAAGTTACAGCATAGAAAAGATGTTCTGCCACGTGTTATTATTAGAGAATAATATAAATCATATCTTGGAACCTCACCTAATAGTTTAAGCTTTTAGGTGAGATAGTTCTTTGACATGGTATCAGAGCCTTGATGACCAAGCAGTTACGAGTTTGAATCTCACCATCCTCATTTATTTGATAAAAATGGATCTGTGCAAGTTTCAAGTCTAAAGGACTTTCACTTGAGAGGGTGTGTTAAAGAATAATATAAATTATATCTTGGAACCTCACCTAATAGCTTAAACTTTTAAGTGAGATGGTTCTTTGACAGTTATAACCTTCTCGTTTTTTTTTTCTTTTATTTACTTTTAGTTTGCATGGATTGGCATTGCCATTGATTAATGGTCTGTGCTGTAGTGATAAATGGTCAAAATATTGAGGCTTGATAAATTGGATGGTATACATATTTGGTTCTGTCGAACCACATCTAATAATTCTTTAAGTGAAAACTAAATGCATAAACTGCTCAAACAATGTTGTATGGGAAACGTTGTTCTTTTTTTGGATAAACCAAGATCACGTTACCAAGACAAAAAAATGGAAGCCGGAGGAGAGAAAAAAACGTTAGCAGCACTGACAAGGAGCATCAGAATGAACGACACATCCAGCATCGAAGTTTGAGGAGAAATAAAAAAATGAAGAATTAAGAGAACAAATTGAAACAGAAGAGAGCATCTCGCAGAAGAAAACCAAAGAACACAAGCCACCTATATCTCATAATTTTGGCTGAGGATGATTGTTTTAGCTAACATTTTTCTCCCTTTTCACTTTCCAAATCCTGAAGTGTTCTCCATCTCCTGAAAAATAAAGGGTGAGCAAGATCATTAATCGATGGAAAATGGAGAAATGACGGAAATATTGTTACTAAAGAAAACAACGCACATCTCATACAACTATCTTCCTTAAGTTGAACTAGAAAATGCAGCAAATGTTTGTTTCCATCAAACCAGATAAGTCTTTGAAATCACAATTCCACATCCTAAAATTAATCATCTGCAGTGATAAAACATCTGGCCAGCTAATCTAAAGCGATCCATTATTGTGACAATACTCTTTAAGCTTTGAAGAAATTAGAAATCTTGACATGCATCCTTCATTCCACCATATTTATCAAGCGACAAGCATTCCAAATCGCGCACCAAGCTATTCAGTAGCAAACTTACTTGTTCAAGAAACGATGAGCTAAGGAACTTGGGCCCTAATAAGGAGGCAAAACTATAATTCTACATAAATTTAAACAACAATTATTTTTAAGCCCCGAAATTTTAACATCCCCATCTCTAAGAAAAAAGAATGACTGCCAACAATCCGCAAAATAGTCGATATCGAGCTGAGTTCTTTTACATGGTTCTGACTGGTGTAAAGAATCCGTGATGCTGTGTACTGGAGTCGTAACTGAGTTGGAGGTAGAATTTAGTGAGAGGAGAGGAAAGATACTGGTGTAGGAGGGTTTTGTTGATGAATTTGGAGGAGGAAGAGCATGAGGGAAGTTAAGGGAAGGAAGTTTGTACCAGAGGTTAAGCCATTTGTGGGACATTAAGGAGGTTTGCATAATTGCATGGGTTGTTTAGGGTATGAGTGGTGGTGGTTTGCTTTCCTTGTTTAAGTGACCAAACTTGAAAAAAAATGAGGTAGTAAGGGACATAATGCTAGTACACCGTGAATATCAGTCTTTTTCACTCACTTTTTTTTTTTTTTGTTTCAAGATTAAAAACCGTAAAACAAACTCACAAACACATTAACATGTCAAAAATTAAATAAAAAATGGGGCCTCATTGGCCACCTTGATGATCAACGAGGTAGCCACCAGAGGTCACATCATGGTGGCGACCCGATTTTGTGGGTCACTTGGCCAACAACCCAATCATGTGGGTTGCCCATCCAACAACCAACCCGTTTTTCTCTATCTTTTATGTTTATTTCATCTTTCTTTTTTTAACAAATAAAGCTACATGGCACATGCCTCTATGTATTATTTTATAAATTAATATTTGATAATTTTATGTGTAACACTTTTTTTTTTTTTCTTGCACACACAAGGTTTACAGGATATACGTTTTATTACATCACCAATAGTTACATTTTGGCTATGCCTATTACTACCATACATGAAGTGTAAATCCCCGATTAAAATTTTTGAGTTAGTGAAAAATAAGAAGATGAAATGAAAATAAAATAAATAAATAAAATATATTTTAAGATAAAAAGGAATATAAATTAAAAGGGATTTATTTAAGAATAAGAAGAAAATGAATCAAAAGCAATATTTTGATTAGTTAAAGAGCGACCTAAAAGTGAAATTAAAAAGACCATTTGGATAAATAAAAGAGATGAAAGAAGAAATGGGGACTGAGTGAGAATAAAGAGAAATTAGGGGCAGAGGTGCAAATAGGCCAAAATGCTCTTTTTTATATATATATATATATATGAATGGCTTCATTTGGCCGGCTAAATAAGAAAGAGTGGGTAGGAGGATGTTGTGTGTTTCAACTTCTTTTTCACCTAGACTACAGCAAATTTTATTTTTGTAATAGTATAAAGTTTTATTAAGAAAATGGCTATAAATATAATAGTTTAACTTATATTAGATGAACAAGGAAAGGAAAGTAAAAAAAAAAAAAAAACATAAAAGCTCTGTATGAAACAGGGGAGCGCATCAATTAGGCGGAATAAAAAAAACATAAGAAACCAGCTCCTCCCTACTAAACACTTTCCATATTAAGCTTTAAAGAGTTGGAATGAAGCTTGAGCCATAAAGCAATACTTTGACGCACCATAGAAAGACAAATTTGGAGGTTAGAGGCAACATAATTAAAAATAGCATCATTCTAGTGGAGCTAAAAATTTCATACAATGCATAAAAAAAGAAGTTGTCATAAGAGATTATATTGCCTACCTTTAACCATGGAAGATCATTGGTAACATATATTGTCAACAAATTTTGGAAAAACACCGCAAAAGACCCAATTAGAAAGCAGTTTCATCTATATTGTCACACGTACCCTCACGACATCTAAGGCAATTTTGTTCATTTGCCTGATTAATTGGGAATCGCCACCTAGTATTTGATTGAAGGCTACTAGAAAACCTGATTATGCTGGCCTTGTCAGAGATTCACAAGTAAGGGACTAGTTGTGACTAAGAAAGGTATTAGTACCCCTAGTACACCCTACCTGAAGTAAACTGCTTTGCAATTTGATATAATTTAAAAGGTTTTGAAAGTTGTCTTGCCGATGATTTCTTAAAAAGAGAAGAAAAAAAATTTTCAGTAAGGAAATCCTTATCTTATCAAATAAAAGAACCTAATTGCTCTATTATTAATAAAAACAAAACAAACTTTTCTATTTAATAACAAGAATACATCTTACATATAAGATTATAAATCCCGAATACCAAACAAAAAATATTTTTTGATATTTTTTGAAATGTGAACCAGATTCAATGCAAATTAAAACATTTAATTTTTTTTTCTTTTTTCATTCTTTTTTCATTCTTTTTTCCTTTTTAGTTTTTTATCATAAACAAAACATACATAAAAATAATAATAATAAAACACCCACTCAAACACTCTCTAGTATGTTTACTGGCAAATTATTACATGTTCATAAAACAACATAAACCAAACAAAAAAAAAACTAATAGGGATTTGGATAGAAACCAAAGATTTCTTGTAGATTTTGGAGAGTGAATGGTGGTGGAGAGAAAAGGGAGAAAGAAAAGGAGGAGAAAAATCATTTTCTTTGCTTTCTATTTTCAATTTTATTGTGATTAAGTGGTAAGCAATCTTGTTTTATGTTTAAACTGAATCAATTTTTATAGATTGATGAGTTGTGTGAATGAATTGTTAGTTTAATATTTAGTTAGATAAATCAGTTTATTGATTTGAAATGTTATGTTTTAATTAATCATGATTCTTGATATGAGAA